GGATTGATTTCATATAATTTATATTTCCCATAAAAAACGACAGCGCACGTGTAGTAACCAAATAGATTTTGATTTATTGCCTATAGATACTATATAAAACGAGCTAACTACGTGTTACATAATCATACATAAAACTAATCGGGGAATATTGAATATATTTTAATAACAATAAATTATTTTCAACCAATAATCTAATCATTTTCTAGTTTATTTGATATTTTTTATTACTATTTATTCGTTGTATAAAATTTGATGTACACTTAAATTTTAGTCTTTTGGTTTACATGGTTGTTTGAACTAGTGGAGCTTCAAAATACTTCTTTATAGTTTGCAAGTTGAAGGAGGATTTATATTTTTGTATTTGACAAAATATCTCGTATTATGTTACCCACTTATCATACGTATATTTTTTAAGCTATTTGGTATTTGAAATACGTATGAATAAGTATATGTTTAAAATTTTTACATTTTGAATGTTTTAAAGTGATTGCGAGCATTGTATCTTCAAACTTTTTTTTATTAAATGTTTATAAAATTGTATGAAATTACGTGTAAATTTGAGTCCAAATTATGTATTTTTTTTAAACGTTTTTCATTACATGTGAAATTTCGATCTATGAAATTAAATTTTTTTATTATGAATCCATAATTAGAACGTTTTCAATTTCTAGATACATGTAAATAAGATCATAAAAAAAAGTCATGACTATAAAGAGTTATTATCTATAGAATATCTATAGATACGTTTTTCTTATAAAAGCATATGAACATAAAAGTGATATAGTTTTATGAAATTACGTTTAAGGATTATTTACAACAAGACATAATACATTTTAAATTAAAACAATATTCCACTGAAAAAAAAACAAGGAAAAATTTACAATAATATTTATATTAATGAAATATACAAAAAATAAGTAATACATTTCAGAAAACGTATTTTAAATAATATTTTGACCAGTTTGCAAATATTAAATTGGTCTTCTACAATTTATTACAGTTTTCGTACAATAAATAACGTGATTATTTTATTTCTAAGAATCTCTATGGAATAATTACCAAAAATATTAAATTATAATAATCCATGTTAAAATTGAAATACTTTTACCGAAATATTTATTAACAATGAATTATCGTCAGCCTTTTATTGTGGATCCTAAGATACTTTTTCTGTATATTACATGGCAGCTTCTGCTGCACAATTATTTGTACACGCTCTGTCTTATGTTTGTATGCAGACGAATTAATAACGTATTTTTTTTTTTTTTTTTTGTGAAATAACTTTTGTAAACTGAATGATATAGTGTAATTTGAATAGTATTTTGAACAAACGAATGTGAAGTAATGAACGTGAAGTAATAAATGTAACTTAAAAAAAAATTTCTTGGGATGGGACATCAAGTTTTGCAAGATTATGTATAAAGTTTTACATAATTCAATATTTTAACAATTTATTGGTATCGTAATAATGTACTCTAATCGCGTTCGAAGAAGAATGTTCCGTCATCTGATTATACACGACGTACTTACACAATAATTTATTATCGTTTTTGTTGAAGCGAACGATTTGATCGCGATAAATAATCTAATAATATAATAATTATGTGTTATGTGCATCAGTTGGTAAAGTGAAGAAACTTGGTAAATATCCAAAAACATTATGAATGTTTTCGATGCACTGTTGTGACGTGAACGTATGACGTGCTAAAAATATTAAACAGCACGCCAGTATGATTAGATATCGTGTCGTTTGATATTTTTATTTTATTTATACATTATTTCACTTTTATAGTATGTATGGTTTAATAACCAGCGTACTTGACATTGTTGAATATAATAATAATAACAATTATAATAATATACTACTGTAAATATTGATCTATTGCGCGTTCGCCGTATAAAAGCTTTGACCGGTCGATGTTCAATAATTCATTATAAATTAATTATTATATCATTATTGGCAGAGTGACACACGTGGTAGACTTTATAATGCATAGATAACAAATAATATTTATGAGAACGAGAAAATATATTTATGTCATATTATTCGAAACTTTCACTATATAGAAGTCAGAAGATTTGATTGTGTCCATTATTATAATTATACATCTGACCGTTATACACGAGAAATGCTTCCGGCGTTTTTTCTTTCTTATTCAAAAATCAACCCTGTTCTTAAATAATTGGTCTCAATAAAAGATGTCAAGAAGTACAAATTTATTGTCCGAGTTTAATACTTATGTGCCTACGTATACTTGGTTGCCGTCGAGTTATTTTAACTATAGGTACGTAGGATAATCTGTGCACCGATTTTTATTCGAGTTCGTTATTTTACATATTATTTGTAAATATAGTATACAGAGCACACCCATTATAAAAAATACAACAGAAAAAAAAAAAACTTCTTTGACAATAGAAAAACTTTCAAATTATAAAATAAATCTTGCATTATGTTTTAAAAAATTGGTTTTGTATTAACAAAGTTTTTTTAACTTTTTTTTTTTTTTTGATTATGCCTCGGCGACTAACAAAGTTTTATAATATGATTACGAGAATAATGAATGTTCAAAATAATAGTATGTACCCCCAATGATACGCTGTTAAACTGTGCGTGTTTCTTAAGTATAACGCTTTAAATAGATACACCCGAAGGTAGAATCGGTGTATTTGGGCATTGGCATTGAATAATGAAGATAATAATAATAATATAATATGACAGTGAAGTATATACTTATCGGATACTATAACGTCGAGATTGATATTGGAATACTATTTTCTCGTAAAACACTTTTAACAGTACATACTCTTGGGATAATTAGATAGTAACAATTATTTTTAACACGCCCGAATGCTCGAAGTCGATTAGTCTTACACAATGGTGATGTTTGTAAAATTAATCTACACTGAATGTCTGTGTAGATAAATCAGCTTTAGAGATTTCAGACCATAGGTAATGATTGTGTACAGCTGTCATCGGTTAAATGTGTCATAATCACATAAAGTACCTAGAATATATAATGTTGTTTACATTTTTCCATTTGCCGTGTCGACAACTGCAGTAGTAGTCCAAGTAAAATGGTCAGAGAAAATCAACTCGTTTTGAAACCAAGTTCTATCAGATAATATTATTGTAAATATTCGAATGTTTATCGAAAAAAACCGATTGTTGTGCCGATCGACTGGACTGATTACCGCAGAGTTACAGTATGAAAATTACGAGCACGATGAAATTTTGGATTTTAAATGCGCCGACGTGGCTTCGTAATTTCTCGAAGTTTATAATTCGAATTCACTGAAACCGCGGTTTGCTCGTATTTTCAGCCAGGAACGCGAAATTTGTCTGGAACAGCAATAAATGTAGATATGAACGAGTACTCAATAAGAGTTCGTTGGTTTTAATCGTCATCTAACCCTGATCAAACGTGAGTTATGTCAGATTTAAAATATTTGCTAGTCAGCGACGGGTCTGAAGAACTGAAGAGGTACATATTATGTGGTATCATCTGCTTTAATCTGGAACCATTAAATTGCGTTGTGGATTATCAATATTACGCGAAGAAATTATTATGAATAGGTCACAATGATTGGGAAGTTTCTTTAAACTGCCGTGGAAATGATTTTTATGAATTAAATACAATATTAAATATTAATCACATAGAAAAATATTTATCACCAAACTCTTAAACGTAGTTATAATTTTTCAAATTAAGAGCGAAGGAGTAAAGTCCTAATTATTTTTAATGAGATATAAGTCGTATGATATTGAGATCCTTACACCATATACTATCATTCTATATATTATTAAATTACATTTTTTTTTCAAATATCTCAGCATAATAATTAATTAATATATATTTATTTCACGACTACTATCAATTTATATATAGATTGTATATAACGTATTAACTTTAAGTTAATTTTATACAGAAGTAAAAAAAAAATTAATTAAAGTTTTGTATAAACTTATTCTCCATACTATTTTGTTTATCTGAGAAATATAATAATAGTTAATTAATTAATTGGAATAAGAAGCATTTGGGGATATACTTGAAGTTTTGTTTTAATAAAAATTGTTCATGTATATAAAATGATTCCATGTATTAAACTATTGTATTTATAAAAATACTCCAGTTCAATATTCGTACTGAACTTTTTAATGATTAAATGGTTTGATGAGTGGTGGAAGAGTTGATCAGATATTCAATGTTCTGTTTCTGATGTGTAGGAGTAACTCAAAGTCTAAAAAATATTCCAATTTATATAATTTGTAGAAATGCTATTTCTACTATCGATGAGAAAATGTAAAAATCTATTTTTTAAGTAAGTATAAGTTAAATTTTTTATCTGATCCTTTTTAATTTCACGAAGTTAAAAAATATATAATAAATAAAATAAAAATGATAGAATGGTAAATATTTGTAAGTTAATATATCAATAGTTTTTACAACAATAGTTTATACATAGAAATAAATAAATAAATGCTTACCTTGGGTCATATTATTTATAATGTATGATCAGTGTTTGAATTAAGAATTCATCATTAGATAGGTACATACGAAGTCAATAAAATAGAGTTACTAATTGTAATATAATATAATATAATATAATATACCCCATTAATACAATCAATTAATAATTAAGAGACTAAAAAAAAATATATTTATATAGTAACCGTGAAGTTTATATTTTTTTTCATTCGTATTTACGTATACACTATTATTACCTAACATTATATTACATACAGTTTGCCAGGAAATTTATTATTTCTATTATATATAGTTATATATATATAGGTAGCGCTCGAGTAGACAGTATGTTCTGCAGTTCGTCGTTTTGATAAGTGCTTATTCATGAAAATTTCACTACACATGTATACAGAAAAAAAAGATTTATATCACATTGCTAAGGTTTTAATTGGCCGTCAACCGAATTGATATTATTAAAAGATTTGTTGAAACCAATAATTTATTTTGTATTTTTTAAATTTTTTTTTTTTACAGAACAGTGACAAAAATTTAGTAAAATGCATAGAAATCACTTGATATTTCCACTGCTCAGCCTTCTAGTCGTCACCTATGCAGCGCCGGACGATAGAAGGAAATTCGTTCGAGTTATCACCGAACCAAAACCCGGCGAAGAATATGTTAGCATACACACCGGAAAACCTTCGTCGAACGTCCAATCAAAATCTTTGGGTAAAATATAAATAATTTTGTTGAATGCGAAATAAATTCGACCACGTGTAATGCAGGGTTTGGAAAGAATATAGGAATGAATTCGAAATAATGTATACTTGTTTAAAGAAAATACTTGCAGGAACTAAATTCCTATTTATTTAAAAATAACAGATTCGGAACAATTTTCTATTTTGGTTGATTACATGAAATTATTCGGTTTTTAATGTTCGTATCGTTGATTTTTTAACCCTCAAGTTAAATATTAATCTTAAAAATCGTCCTTCATTTATTAAATATTTTACGAGTTAGTAAAGTCTGTATACACAGGATAACACGAATGAATTACGGTTTTAAAGAACCTTTCCAGGCACTGATTAAACATAATCAGAAGTAGAAAGTAGAAATAATAGGTGTGCAATCGGGGGATTTTGATTGCAGAGAGTGAAATGGACGTAAAAATTCAAGACGAAGGACAAACGGGAATAAAAGAAGTAGCCGGACTCGTGCCGACGGAAGAAAAAATTTACGCGGTAAGCACTGCAATATTTTTTTTGTTAAATATTATTATGTCTTCTTCTTAGGTATAAATATTATAAATGCCATCTACCTACATCGGTGCATATAGGCACTATAGGTCATAAATGGTTAATCATTATTATTACGAAGGGTCAGCGTTTAGATAATAAAAGAAATTATTTTATGTAAGGTATATGTAATTATTGCGCGTGGACTAATTTTACACGTGGTGCACAACTACCGCGTACAATATAGGTAATATAATCTTAACGCGGTAAACATAATAATATCTTCTCCGTGCGTTTATAGCGGAAAAAAAATAAAAATATAAATATCACCGGACTATCGTTGTATTATTACGACTAGTGTTATACAATAACAATGTGTCCGTTGAGTTAACGTTTCGAAACAGTTCGCGTATGTTATCCGACGTGAAATTCGTATTATGTACGCAGTAGTGCCCAGAGTCGGTTCAGAGTACGAAACGATGGTAGCGTTTAGTTGCAACCTAATGACAGCAATTATTTGAAAAAAAAAAAATTTAATAATAAATAGAAACATCATTTCACTACGTCATACGATGGTTCGGTGGTACCTATATACTTAGTAATATTATAATCCATCAGGTGATATTGTTCTGTCTTTCTCGTCCATTAAACTGTATATTATGAGCATTTATTAAAATTTAATACGATTATCAACGTAATTAAATATAATTAACACAACAAATGTACCAATACATTGAACTGAGTCAACATTTGACTTAATTTGATTATTTTCTTTTGGGTTTTCGATGGTCTTACAAAAGACTACAGTTATCAAATATTATACTTATGGAAGAGTAAAATTTAATATGTTAAAAATTATTTTCAACAATAAAAGCTCATTTCAAAATGATAAGAAAATGGGGTTTTTTTTTAATTAGAAATTATAAACTATCATTATATTTGTGGTTTTTAGGTTCTTGAATAAAGAATATTCCATATATAATATTCCAAGACCAACTATAACATAGTAAAACATTTATTATTAATATAGTATTTACTTTTTTATTCAGCATAAAAAATTATATCCATCTATAGAAGAGGGGCTAAAATGGTCAAAGCCAGAAAAAAAATATGCTTCCAGCAGTACGGAGGAAATCATTCCTGACAGCTTACCGACCAAGTCACACAACAAACTGAAGTAGGTTAATACGTTTTCTAATCCGATACTGTGTACTATTTAAGTATTTTGCTAGGAATAAACGTGAAGACGAAGTACCAAGTCATAGTTCTATAAAAGTTCAAGAGAAATCGAATAATAATAAAGAAGATGATGGTTTGTACGACTTTGTGGACTCTCCTTACGGAAGCCAGATTGTAGGTTCTGCCTCTTCTCAAGCGTCCCGAGTAAATATCAAAAAAGCGCCAAATGGTCAAGAATACGAATATGAGTACGTCTATTACTACTACGACGAGGATGAAGAAAATGCAAAACCCGGTTCTAAAAGTGATTTCCAAACGCTTATTTAGGTCATTAGAAATAATTTTAAAATTTGAAGCCAATTTTTTTGAATTACAGATAGTCAAAGCATATCAACTTCACCACCGGCTTTACAGCAAACTAGTCCAAAATCCAATAAAGATATCAAAGAAAACCACAACAAATCCAGAAAACCACCAGTTGTACAAGATGAAAATCAATTTGTTCAAAACACTAACAAGGGCAGGTGAGTGATATTAAATAATTATTCTTAATCTTAAAATTGTAATATCCGTCATTGCATATATTCTATTATAGATTTGAACTAAATACTTTAAAGGTTAAATAGTTAAAAACTATCCGTAATATTAATATAATTTAAGGAACATATAATCTTAACGCTGTGACAATAGTATACATTTCTTCTGTACATACATTTTAAAGACAAAAGAACAAGGATATCATCAAATTAATTATTTATTTTTATTTTTATTTTTTTAGTTAATAAAAACTATTCTTACAAAGATATTTTTAATCCAATATTTATAATTCATACGAGTTATAGATGTACTGTTATCAAAAATTATACTATATTAATTTAATAAGAAAAACAAAATATAAGTAAAATTTTCTTAAAATATTATAATCAATAATAATCAGTCTTGTTTTTATTTGTATCTATAAATTTTTTTTTGTTATTGGGTTTTCGGTCTTTGAGACCATACATTATCCATATATACCAAATATATATCATAAATAATAAAGACATTATTTGATGGTTACATCTGAATTGATAATGTTTAGGTTTACTGCCGCAGAGCACTCTATTACTACAGAAGAATCTGCAGGACACTCCAACTTTGCAGTTAATGATATTGCTGGACACAATAGTAAAACAAAGTAAGTGTTTAAATTACAATATTTAAAATACTATATCCATAATTAAATATATCTATATATTTCTCCTCATTCCTGCAGTCAGATCAAATAACGTGGGATTGAAAAATTTACCATTCTTATCTAGTATATAGTGAAACCATTTCCCTTTGACTTTCATTGGTATACTTTGACCTCGGTCATTTCTTCCCACGGCACAACTGATCTGAAACAATTTAATGAAGAATAAAATTATTTAGAACTTAAAGTTATGTATTTAAATATTGCATTCAAATTATGATGATTGTTATAACTTACATCAAAATTTTTTTATTAAAAATTGTATAAATAAAGCCAACAATTGGCATATTAATATGAGAGGAATTTAATGTATGATAATAGGTATAACAATCAAATTAGTATGGTATATTAATGTTTGTTAAACACTGGTTCTAAACATGGTCAAATGATGATGGAAAATTATGTACTTACATTCTCCAAAGGTATGGTAGTAGTTATATTTCTGTTGAAGAAACCGAAAGATGTTATACTTAATTTATCACCTCCTCTACATAAAACCAACATTTTGACCGATTTCATTGTGTAAACAAAGCATATGCCAACTAACATTGCACCTGAAATAAGTATTAGGATTATTGAAATACAATCTCGCAACTCAAATCGTTTGTAGACATCAATAATATTTCTCACCCATGCACAAGCACGCGACAGGAATCCCGACCGTCAAAATTTTTCCTTTGGCTTTCAATTGATCTAACCACGATATCATCTGAGATGCTTCGTTATCTTTGGGTTTTTGTTTCAATAAGACGTTATAAGTATCTGCTACTGTAAGCCAAAAACCAAACTGGACAATAGAGAATATACTAATCATTTTGAATGTGCGGTCACTGGACGATTTGTACAGGATCACATCTTTGGGCACACTAGTGTTGATGTTAAATATCGATTGTTCGTTGAAACGTCTCCGGGTGAAACACTGCAGTTGATCCAATCGATTAATTCTGTGAAGACTATTAAAACCGCTGAAGGTCCGACTGAACGATAAACAACGGAGAAAAGGTGTACGGTGTAGAATCCATTGAAACGACATCGTTTGCAATTACGTAGATCACACAGCGAATTATAATAGTTAATAAATTACAAACATTAATAACAACAATACCGTGGGAATATAGAACTGAATATCTAAGTAGACGGGGACGTAGAAATTTCAATTTTCGGTGTTTTGCACGATACGTTATCAATCTCAATCGGTTACGTTATCACCATTAGTGAACATTCAGTGATAAGGCGTGGAATGTGACGTCGACACACTTGCACCAATAACCGGTCCACGCAATGACGACAACGCGCCGAAGGTCGTTTGGTCGTAACGTAATGCGTAAGTCGTTCGTACCTACTTACTATCGTGGTAAATTTCGCGTAGGTAGGTACCTACATAATTTTTTATATCTTGCAATCGCGTTTTCGTTTTCAGTTTACATTTCACTTTTGGGATCTCTAGACTTACGTGAGATTCAAGTTGTGTCGCGAGAAATTCCGCGGCCTCAGGACTTCTATCCGAGAACAGCTGAACGTATCCCCTCAAACGCGACAGTTAAATAAAAATAATTAAATAATACGCTTATTCAATGCCCGTTTTGACGAGGGATTATTATCGTGTATACCCATATATTATGCATTGTACACCATTGTAAGCATTTGAAATGTCGATAATCCGACTAATTTTCGAAACCTGATGTTTAAATTTAATTTTAACTCGGAAAGATATCGGATTTATGTCATTAGATTAGTATTTCGGTACGCATAACCAACAGTGATTGGAAAGTTCTTCTCGAAAAAAAGTTTCTCACGCATCTGGTTTAAAAATATAGTGTATCTTGTTCGTTCATTTTTCCTTTTCTAACTACAACTTTTATAACATTATTAAAATACAGATCATTAATGATAATATTACATTATTTTCTGCATATTAAATCATTATCTACATAAAAGTAGTTAACATTTTTGGAAAATAGATATTTTTTCCTAAAACTGAAACAAGAAATTTTAGTGGAATCCATTATTTTAGGCATACCTAATGTAGTAATAAAATAATGCACAGCTATTTTATTTTTTATTTTCTACCATCAGCAAATTACTTTTCAGCTTTAATTTTATTGTAGTAAATAAATAAAAAAAAAAAAAATTAGGTATTTGTTAAGTACCTATTTGATTTTATGAATCTTGTGGCCCCTTGACTTAGCTGATTTAGCTTGGGGCTTCGGTGGCCCTGGCCTGAATATGTCTGCACCGGTGAAATTTCACTTTTATTTCATACTCAATATTATTGAATTCTAAAATGAAATGTACTATTCGAATGTTTGAAATTCGATGTACTAATATTTAAATAAACAGTTATTTGCAGTCGAAAATATCGATTTTAAATATTTACTAATTTATGAGAAAAAAAAACGGACAAGCAAAAATAATAGAATAAAACAAATTAATAAATAATAACTAGCTATTAATAATACGTAATAGACTACTATATAGATATCGTTTATGAATGATCTCATTTAAACATGATTTAACGAAGACTTTCACTACTAAGACATATCGAAATGCAAAACGTTAAAAATGAAACAAAGTAACAGTTAAGAATCTAGATAGGATAAAATATAAAATCGACTTCAAATATATTATAATAGTCGTGATGAATATCTCTGTATTGGAAATTATCAACCTTCTCGTCAACATCATAGAAGTCCGTAACCGGCCAATATTTTTTACTTAGTCGTAGTTACTTACTCGCTTTCATTTTTTATTACACATTAATTTTTATAAAACCGAAATAGTTTTTTAATTATCTTCATTATTTTTTTTGCGGTGAATGCCAAACACTGATTCGGTACAGAATTATCGTCAATTAAAAATATTCATAAGCCATTGTTGTTTTTATTAAAAATAGCATATCGTTTTCAAAATAACCATGTAAAGGGTAAATAACGTATTCAATATAAAGGTAAATCCAGAGTTTCATCTTCATATCGAAGAATTTAATAAAAAATCAAAAAAGCATCTTTTGGACTCGAACTTAAAATTTAGTGATTTTGAGAATCTTTGATCAGATCGAAAATACGATCACAGATCAAAAAAATAATATTTAACGTTTCGAATCTAAAACATATTTCGTTGAACAAATTTAAATGACTGAACTAAATTACATTTTGGAAACATTGCGATGGTGAACGTCGTTTATATTTTGTACTATTATTATTACTTATCACCAGAATTGGAATGTTTATGATTTTCTTATATACGAGAAACTCCGGAGTGCAGGGTTATAAAATCGTTTAATTTAATGTAGCAGTCGAATATGATGTTTAAAGTAAATGCATATTTTGTAGGTAGGTTAGTAGGTAGACTTAGTTAATCTTATACAGAAAACCAACTTTGGTTAATTTATAAAATTATTCGCGTTTTGACCACTGAAAAAAAAAAAACGTGGTATCGTTGTATACTTGTTACTTGATACAGAACTGGAATATAGTTATTTTACTTTTACCTTAAGATGTAATTTAATTATATTGAAGTATAACAACTTGAGGTTTTTCTTTTTATTAATTTGCTCCGAATAATTTGACTGGTTATAATTAAAATAATAAAAATAAACTGTCGATTCTAAATTACTTCAAAAAATTCTCATCGTTTAGATTAATTCACACGATTCTTGCTGAACTATTTTAATTACATTTATTGGACTTAATATTTTTCGTACAATTTTGTTCGACCATAAACATTGTGTAGTTGATATTTTGGATTGTAGTTATTCTTTCAAGTCGGCCCACGTGTTTTATAAAACAAGTACGGGTGCATCATCATTCATCCAACGACTTGAACAACCTGTATGGTTAATATTATTATGCATGCCTTATGCGAGAATTTCGTGGTCGTATAGACCTGCAGTGTTTACAGATAACAGCCATTGTTTCGCAAGTCGTGGGTAGATCGGTGGATAGCAGAAATTTCTTTATTTGTGGGATAAAACAAGAATAATACTGTCAGAGCTACTGCACTTACACGTATTTATTCTTGGCTTATCTTGCAACTATATGTGTGATTGATCACTTTAGTCGACCACCTTAACGTGTTTTTATCTTTCATCATATCTTTAGGCTCAAACATGCACAAAGATTGCAGTTTTTATAATATATCATTTCCGATTACATTTTATCCGGTTAGATATTTTTCGATTTTCGATTTACTCTTTTTCGCTGTTAACTTTTCACGACATAATAAAAATAATGAATTGCACGACATCAGTTGAATATATAAAAAATGTAGTGAAGTAAACCATCAATTGGACAATTCATCATAAATTGATCAACCGCACTGATTACACGTTTTAGCACATAAATCTATGTGATTCCAGAAGCACTGGCAAAATCGATTCTATGTATAACAACATATAAATAAGTACGTTTATTTTCAGGGAATCGGGGCGTAATCTAGAAGAAGCTTTATCGGTTCCTTCGTCCTCGTCGGTAGCCGTTTCTGAAGAGCGCCTGCCGCAAAATCCTAGATTCCCCACCAGATCTCGTGGAAATCCTAAGACGGTTCAGGAATTCGCTACTACCGTTGTGCCAGCCACGGACACGCCGATCACGCGCATCCGACCGAATAATGGTACGTCTGATTCAAATACGATTATCGAACCTGTACATAAGTAACTATATCTTTAACGATAACAATATCGTGTACGTTCACCAAAGGTCCGCATCAACCCACCGGTTTGGACCTGGTAGACAGCAGTGTTTTCAGGACTCATTCCACTAACGGACAACACACGGCTACTTCGCCGAGACACGAAAGCAACAGAGGTAAAACATAAACAGCCTGACTATAAAATATAATAATTATCCATTAATCATTTCCCGTCAAATCTCGAGAGATTTATCTTCTATTAAAACGTAAAAAAGTATTCGTTTGTAAATATTTACGTAGATTGTCATTAAATTTTAATGTAATATTATAGGTACTGCGTTGAAACGTGTTTATCATGGTACATATATAGTTTGTGTAGTGAATGGCATTAGATGTATATGGATATTGTTTTCGTTTAAGGTTAATGTAGTGGATTAAGGGTTAATCGACCACACAATATCTTATTTATTATATTATTATTGTGCTACGTGTCACAGGTGCTAACAGGCGTTGATGGACAGTATCCTCGTCGTTATACTGCATCACTGCACATAATAAACGGGTGTAATTATTATTTTTAAAAACTAATATTTTCTACATTTGTATAAAACAAAAACTATCTTATAATAATTATTTAATCGTTATATATTTGTATGCAGTAACGGGTGCGTGTTTGTGTGTGTTTATGCGTGCACGTGTGTTTTTTTGTTTTGTGTATATTTTAATCTCGAAAGCCAATCGGAGACGCCGAGACGACGAAGGCTGTGTGAGGTTAAAACTGGCGAATGTGAATATTTTCAGATGCTGTGGTACAAACGACGCCAGCAGATCAAGTAGCAACTATTAATAACGCTTATAACACTCAGCTGACGGAAACAGTAGCGTCTGTAACAGAAACTGTTAGCTTAGATCGGAATCAAGACAATACCGATGTGGATACTAAGGGGTTATCATTGACGACAACATTAACCCCTGACGAGGTCGTCACGGTCACCCAACGTTATACCGCAGGTTCGCGACGGACGTATACTAATATAAGCTAACCGTACTGACACGCACGTGTAACGTGCCCGGCGGCTTTTTGCGCTATTTTTTAAACTATGGGTACGACACATCGCTTTAGTTTTTTTCGGCCTATTAACATTCGCTTGGGTAACAAAGATTGTCGTGCTTCAAACTATACTTGTGAACCTTTACACACACGTTTAGATATCACTGTCAAACACTTAAATGTGCTGTTAAAAACTCAATTGGGAAGGGGAGGAATGAACCAATAATATTGTAATAACAAACAATATATGTATACCTAACATTCTCGAGGTCTGATACTAACACGTCACATAACAAGAGTATGCATAATAAAATATATTATAAATAGCGCTTTTAATTTTTAAGAACAGAATAATCATTATTTAAATACATGGTATACTAAAGCTTTTTAATCACTATGGTTTAGTTGGATAATTACATACATAATAATATGTTCTTCGATATTTACAAATAAAAAGGTTATCTGTTAATATTTTTAAGGTACCCCCTTAATCGATAAATTATTTCGCGAACAATTTACGAATATTTTTTATTAAATAAAAATGTTTTTGCTATACAACTCGAATAATTGTTTTTTAAATTTTACTTATTTTCTATTTTTATACTAGATATTTGTGTTGATAGAATTTTTGAGAATTTCGACTCGAAAACAAAGAAATAATTACTATTATTGGTAAAACAATATGTTACAACATTATGCGTTAAATTTAATAACAGAGTTATTAAAGACTGTTTGTAAATCATGAATTTGAGATTTATTATGTTTCACATCAATCAAATTACCTTATGACTAATTAAGTGTATGATAACTTTGAAAAAAAAACATTGCGATCATATATCATTCAAGTAATATTTCAAATCAGATAATAATTATTATAAATTATGAATAATATTTATATTAATAAATAAAATATTAAAAATCAATATAACGGTTTTAATTTGAATTTATAAGGGTACACTTATTTCGAACTAAATTAAGTATGAAAATATTCAATCAGTAAGATTTTTTTAGTTTCTTAAAAATAATATAAGATTATTGCGACAAAAGGAAAAAAAATCCTACCAATTACCATTATGTTTACAAAAGAAAATGAAGATGGGAATTATTTCTTGTTTATGACTTTCATTAACCATCATTACTATAATAATTAAGAGGACGCCACATTGAAACGTTACCGATCGTAGTTTCACGTACACGGAGACCAACCTAATAAGACAAAACCTCGCTTCGAACACCCAAGAATAGGTTTCAGATTAGATGGTACTAAAATATTTAAAAAAAAGATAACGATTTCCGTTCGTATGCTTACGGTAAGACGGTGAATGGATATAGGTATTTTAAATTAAAAATTTAATCCAAAGCTTAAAAAGAAAAAAAAAATGATTTTTAATTTTAAATTTCACAGCAAAACAATCGGTTAATTCGGAACCGAATGTTTTGACCGTACGTCTAGGCGGTGTTTCGTTTCCGGGTGAGTTACTTTGACGGTCAGTTACCTTTACCTGCAAAGCCCGATCGGCTTTGCAAAGTCGACCACCTGTACAGCGATGTGTTTTCAAAAAATCGTTCTGATCCGCACCGAAATCCGTTCGATATTCGTATTTGGTCCATTACATCTTCTTGTTTTCTTTGTTCGCCTCACGTGGCAAACTCAAAGTGTGGACAACGGTTATCGACGTTCGACCGTATGTTTTCGGCAATGTGACGTCCTCTCGATAAAAACAATACAATAACACAACGCGAGTCCGGTGTTTCTTTTTCCGAACTCGCGGGCGGGCAACTTGCACACGGCACCGTCATTTGTGCCGTGGGAACGCGCGCTGAGAAAACCGTTTCGCATTTTCGCAGGAGCCACGGACAAAGGGGCGGTCGACTTGTACGCCATTTTGCAGCAGACCCGTAGCGAGGAGACGGCCAACACGATAGCGTCCAGCGAGCATTCCACCAGGTTCGAGGACGTCGAGACCCAGTTCCCGACCACGTTGCGGCAGGTGCCGACCACGACCACCACGACCACCACCACGACTACCACTACCCCGGCGCCGACCACGACCACCACGACGACGACCACCGTTGCACCGGTGCCAGCTAGGTCACCGGGTTCTGGACCGGTGCGCAGCCGTTACCGCGGTTCTGCTGGCAACAGGAACGGCGCACAGGCTTCGACCACGACCACCACTACCACGACCGAGCAACCGGCCGTCGCCGAAGAGGTGACGGAAAGACGTAAATTCAAACCCACCAGGGAACGGAACACTCAGGTAAATTCACCGCGATTGTTTTCCGATTGAACGTTGAAAACAGATTAACGACGATAAATTAACGGTTGGTTAAATCTGTACACCGATTGTACGAGATCGTGGTACAGGAAAGAATTCGATAAATAGGTCTATAAGCGAAGTAAAGAAATCTAGCAGCATTTTCGAAGCGTATTTCTTGAAGGAAAGGACGTTGATATGTTAAAACTATCTCTAAGGAACCGAACAAATCTTAAAAACACCGGTTACTATTTTTTTTCTTTCTTTTGTAATATACTCAAAAAACGTTGACCAGTGCACTTTTGGATGTTGATATTCGTTTTATTGATTATCGGTTAAAGGGTGGCGAGGGGATAGGTTGACAGAGTTTTTGTTACGAGTACACTCATAAAATAAAAACTATTGAGTTCGGTTCAGCTTTAATTTAACTGTTATTATGACACGAAAATTATATCACTAGGTTTAGTTTGTATGTATGTTTTTATTGGTCTAGAATTTCTTTATATTGTATTTTATGTTATTATTATTTAGGGATCTGTCTATAGTAAGAGGTATCAATCTTCTACTGCCGCACTCGATAAAGAATCTTCAACTACTGAAACCGAAGTGGTGACTAAAGCACAAAGTAATTATTCTTTAATGATTTTTTACAGTATTTAAGGTCGCTAATTATTTATATGGTTTCTTTATGTTCGTGAATACTAAAATAATAAATGTTGATGTATACATAGTTATACACACAAAATGCATATCAAATTCAACAAATTGGAGAATATGTATTAAGTATTAGATGAGAGGAAATGAAGACTGAATTATAATCTACCGTTGAATGGCATTAAAAAATTAATTCAGTATTTTCATGTAGTATTTTCAGTACATTCATACTTTAAAACTTGATGAATGATTTTTTAAAACCTTTTAAAAAGTTAGAATCTGCGTTTATTTAAGGATAATTTAATATATAATATTATGGATGATGTTCTACTATCGGCAATTTGAAGTTATTATCATTCCAAGAAGTTTGTATAAAATATACATTCACCAATGAAGTGGTTCGTGTACAATATATCTATTTAATATTTTTCTTTTTTGAATAGTAATATACCTACGGTTATATGATATATTATCAAATCGAATAATATAACATTTTCTTATTTTATGGTATACGTTCATAATTTTAAGCGATGAATAATATTATTTATAACTTATTTACACCAAAATCAATGTTGTAGAACCGTCATTCGGCCGTCAAAGAACACGCGCAAGCAAACCCGTATCAAGTACGGTGCCAATCGACGAAAATGTTGAAGTTACATCAGCAGCACCGAAACCCAACTTTGCTGAACGGTAAGCAGATTATAAATTAAAATATTGAGTTGTTTTTTGATACGTTAAAATTAGAAACTAAACTTGTATACAATTATCAATATATAAGGTCCAATCTGAGAAGACAAAACAGCAGAAACAAATTTACGACTTCAGCTTCGACCACAACAACAAGCACAGCTGCGCCACCGGTAGCAGAAGTAGATGAAAGTAATGTCTCCGAACAAGAAGTTCCAGAGCCTACTACTGCTAAAGCAGTTGGGTATGTGTTTATGATGATTTAACGATTATTTGTGATCTATATCTGACCGTATTGTCTTATGTATATGTTTTATATAGAGGTCGACTGAGACCAAATATTAGACCGTTGAGGCCAGGTTTGAGGTTGAACTTTGGAGGAAAAGGATCATCGACTACGACATCGCCAGCACCATCGACTACACAAGCACAGATCGTAGAAAGTTCTCCAGACGAAATAGAAGAAAAAGTTAGTAATATCACTAAAAACCCGTTTCATCGATTAAATTAAGTTTCTAAAACTATTTTCAAAAATGGTACGTAATTAAATGTGTTTATTACGTTCATTAGGAACCGGTACAAGAAACGAGCCCCACTCCAGCACCTGACTCGCTGTCGAGACTTAAGAACAAATCTAGATTCCGGGTACCAGAAAAACAAGCTGCGCTAGCGCCGAAACAACAAACCCTAGCTCCTCCAGTAAGCGGGCAAAATAGAAAGAACTTGTTATCGAATCTGTTACCCAAAAAGAAGTCGATCCAAACCGAAGAGCCCCCGGTGGTTATCGAAGAAGTAAAACCGGTGAACGAAAATGAGCAGGAAATTGATCAAAACGCAGAGATACAAAATGAAGAAGACACTGACCGGCAACAACAATCTTCTTCGACGACAACTAGTACGACAGAGGCGCCGTCATCGACCACGAACCGATTATCATCTTTGCTAGCTAAGCGGAGGTTACAGCAAAGAAAACCGGTAGATCTTTCTAGCAAACAATCAAACCAAGACGAATGAACAATCAAAATTATATTTAAAAACCTATTGGATAAAAAATGTATGTGCATGGTCCAAACAATGTACTCATTTTTGATTTGTACAATTTAGTATCCATTTCAGCTATAATTATCTTAAGTCATGATGTTTTGTTCCACTGAATATATCATTATTATTATAAATTAATTTTATATTGTAATTTATACATTTCGGAAGAAGATAAATAAATATATAAATATTTGTAAGAGACTTCAACCAAAACTATTCTATGTAACATTTGATATTGTCTTGCATATACTATTTGGTTGGTAAAATATTATTGCTATCGCGTACAATATTGGTATACTATTTGAAGTTATTGTCGTTGTAGGACCATAGTCTTATGGCAACGAGATACCACCATAACACATATTATTATTATTATTATTATTTTATTATATTGACAACGGAATTTATAAAATATTATTATATCTTTTTAATGCAAATATTATCTTATGTTAAACCAAACTATTTTGTTTTTAATATAAGATTTATTAGTTTTTTTGATGAGTATATTGTACTGTAACTTCTGTAGTGTTAACAATAAAAATTTGTATATATTATATAAATATATATATTAATTATTGAATGTTTATCAAAAAACGTAACAGGATTTGTACAGTGAAATATAAGACAAAAACATGACCATATTTACTTAACGTCCGTAACTAAAAAATGTCAAAATCCTTTTTTCTTTTATCGGAAATGTATATGTATGTATAAAAAAAACAGATATTTATTAAGTCTTATTAGGTGTTGATTACCGATGAAACATATGAATTAGTTATATACTATATTATACAACAGTTTTTCCAAAACTTTCATTTATTCAACCTCCATCTTTCTTGAAAAAACTAAAATTTTAATTTTTACAATCAATTATTTAAGTAAAATAAAAGATTTATTTTACATTATAAACAACTTTTACTCATAAATGTGATAATTTTCTAAAATCTACTCGAGTTTTCCGTTATGAATTAATTAAACAAAAATTGTATTAGTGATCGTATTATTGAGGTGGATGATTTTTTACTAATCAAACGATATCTGAATAAATGGGTGTCAGTATTAATCTAAAATTTCCTTTTTCACATATTTCCAATTAATTTCTTGATGATGTGATAAGTATTCGAGTCACCCTAAAGCATTTTTTGAATAAATATGTGATAGAAAAGTCACAATTAGTAATTCCACGTCTTTTCAAGGTTTAAGATTTATAATTTATAGTTTGTTCTAAAATAAATCATATAATAAAAATGTAAATTACAGAAGGATTCTTCTCCTTAACACTTAAAAATTAAAAATGCCCTTGAGGGCAAGGTAGTTACCAAATTGGAAATAACTGTTAAACAAGAAATTAAGACGAATACGTTTACTTATCAATATATTTTTATATCAATCTACTCGTAGTACTTGTATACATTTGACGGCGCATTGTGTAGGCAATTTAAGGACAAGACCCTTTATTGTAAAACTTGATGCCGCGGAATAATGTAAATAAGTAGTCTGAACATCAATTATAATAGTTAAGCAAAATTCGAATATAAACAGTTTTAATCCTAAAATGATTTAAGAAAGGAATACATACATATATATATATATATAAGTGTATGTAAATCTTTTTTTCTTCTATATACATAAACATCTCGTGTCACAGTCTTTGTTACCATACTCCTCCAAAACGGCTAACCGATTTTAATAAAATTTTGTATATACATTTTGTAGGTCTATGAATAGGTTTTTATCTATTTTTTATACTCTTAAGTGCTATTGTTTAATAAATCGTAGTTTAATTAAGTAATTTTTGACCAGGTCGATAACTGCACAGTTGATCAGTCATCCCTACCAGCTGATACCAGTCTATTAAATGAAACTATTAAAAAACTATTAAAAACTATTTAATTATTTTTGGTATAAATGAAACTAGACATTTGGCTGACCTGTTATGATCAGTCATATGTTTGGGCACGTAGATCTGCAAGCATGCGAAATACAAGAGCCCAAACAACAGAAGACCAAATCCAGTAAGATAATACTAATGTGCGTGTGAACATGGCGCGATTGCATCAAGCTGATCAGAAGATGCACGAGTTGAACGAAATTAACAAAGAAGATTAGAACAAGGGCAAAGGTCATCGCCACCGTGGCATAATGTTGAAAAAGTATAACCGAAAGTAAATATGCGCGTTCAAATGTTTCAAGATCCAACTGCTGAAACATTCTTAAAACAATTGTTAGATATTGGAGATGGGAGAGTTACTACGGATGAAACGGGATGTATAAAATTACCGACCGATTTCTGCACAATCATTTATTCGCAAAATGTTCTCATTTACCAGATATTTCTCAATGTACACAGACAATACACAAAATCATGAGTGGCTGGCAGAAAGAGCAAAAAATGTGGAAGTCAACAAATTGAATCTCAAGACATAACATTTGTTACCAGGAGACTTGATGTCATACAAATCGATTGATACAGTTTGCGATGCTACTGAAGCTGTATATTATCCAACAGAGTTTTTAAACTCATTGGATTTACCAGATATGCTACCGCATAATTTACAACAGAAGGTTGGATCTCCGGTTATTTTGCTTCGTAATTTGAACCCATCACGGTTGTGAAACGGTACGCGATTAGTCATTAATAAATGAATGAAAAATGTTATCGAAGCCATCATTTTAAATGGCAAATTCCGAGTTGAAAATATATTATTACCGCGAATGCCTATTATACCCACAGATGTACCAATGCAATTTAACGCCTTTAATCTCCAATCAGATTGGCATTAGCAATGACTATCAATAAGTCTCAAGGCCAAACGATGTTTGTTTGTGTCTTAGATTTGAGCACATCATGTTTTTCATACGAACAATTATACGTGACGTGCTCTCAAACCATCCAGTTTGTTTGTGTTGGCGAAAGATGGGATGACAAAAAATATTGTATACTCTATTACATTAAGAGATTGATATTGTTTTTTACTAATATTGTCATAATTAGCGATATATATAATTTTAAAGGATCAATTTTAATAAATTATTAAAAAAAATAAATGTTTTTTTTTTTTTTTAATTTTATTTGATAATATGCAATCTGTACAATTTATTGGTACAATAAGCATATGCGTGCAATGTAAGATAAAAACAAAAACATAACAAAAAACAGACGTGGAAGAAGTGATTAAATTTTTTTTAAAAAAATAAATGTTAGATGATTTTTCATTTTTATATTTCGTTACCGTTCACAGCACTCCATACCTCTTTCACTTATATACCACACCCTTAGACATTTATATTAAATTAGTTATTTTTTCTAGCAAAATATTCTCTAGAAATATTATAATTTATATGATAAAACAACGTTTGTAGGATCAGCTAGTATTAATATATTACTGTGAAATTATGGCTAAACATAAATAGCGTATGGTATAAAGAGATAATAATTTTAAAAATAGGTAACCAGGCAACCACATTAACTGTAACTTAATGACTATGTTTGATGTTTTCAGAAACTTTCGTTTCATTTTACAACCTTACATTTACACATATTATTAGTTTTGATTTTTTGTAGAAAAACGAAAAATAAGAATTCGGTTTACTCAGTGCGCGTCATCGTTCTTATTACATATACATCGATTTCGCATCGGTATGCATTAACTAACCACAGTTCATACATTACGATTTAATCATGAATTCGGTCTGTGTACATTACTTGATGGGATTGTGCCTCTTCGGTAATCGTTGACAGTAATCCCATGACATGAGCAACCCAACTGAAAACCGTACATAGTACAAGTATTTATCTCACGTCATCTAAGTGATTACTTTTTTACTTGGAATTTACTGACAGTAATTTTAACATGGTATTCTAATTTTTCTTTTACAATTTAATTATTTATTTATTTAATATCGAAAATCCTAAATTACACATAATTTATCCTTTTGCCGATAATGAAGTCAATTCCCTGCACCCGTTACTGGAACGGAGTTTACTTTGTTTCCAATACAGTCACCAAGTTCAGCAGTATACCGAGATCTAGACCGAAACGTCCTCATTCCCAGCAATTTATTTGTTAGGTCCGAATGCTGCTTTTACATTTTTTACATCGATCAGTATAGGACACATTTGTATTTGATTCATATTATTCCAAATTATTTTTCCATTCGCTTAATTTTATTCGTTTTATCTTATCAATTTGTCATCGTTCTCGTAACAATTGATATATTTGTTACTAAATATATATATTATAAATGCTTATAATTCATTTTGTATTGAAAATTCTAATTTATATATTAACTTTTTTTTTGTTGATAATGATAAGACTCTTCCTGTATCCTTTATTAAAACTTTATTAAAGTTCACTTCATATTCATTCACCAACTAATAGCGTATCGAGAACTCGATCGAGACGTTCGCCATTCCCTGGTTTAGTAGAATTGAGGTATAGTCTTATATTTATAATTATTTAGTTATTATACTGTTGTAATGACATTTTCCGTTGATCACAAAATTGAATCCCAAAATTTGAGTTGTTCAATAGATAAGATTTATTTGTTCTGTTTATGTTAAATCAAAAATTATACTTTTGTTTAAAGGCACAAATTCTGGAAAGACAATTTTAGACATCATGCTTATAGAAACAGCAAAAATATTACATGGAGACAGTGATCTGCAGAGTATACATCATCAATGATTAGTCAAAGAAAACGATGGGAAAAATGAGTCTACGGTCTAAAATAAAATGGACCAATTTATAACAAATATTAAAACAGAACTACGATGTAATATTTGTTTTGAAATTTTTACTTAGGTAATGTTTTCAATAATTGTTAGTGTTCATGACAATCATTAGTGTCTCGCAAATTTTAACACTAAAAATTAATGAATAAACAATCAACATAAGATATTTATTTAGATATTAATTTACAAGTATTAACCATTTACACATTTTTAATATTTCTAAAATATTTATGTAAAATATTTCTTTAATTTCAAATGAATAAATAAATGTACTAATTTGATAATTTTGGTTTTATTTTGAGTGATAAATATTACACTAAAATCTTTAAAAATTTCTCTTCTCATCAACAATTGGACTCTGCATAAAGATACATTTTGTGATGAAATGTAAATTTTTTATTTCATGCAAGAATTATTATAACTCAAATTTTATTATGTTTTGTTTTGAAATATCTATTAAACTGGATTCATATCAACTTTAAACCAATTACTATAACATCTCTGTTGATTTTACATATTTTTTCAATAAATATTGTATTATTTATGTTAACATGTTGTTGTTATTCATTAGAAGTACCATATATTATTAGATATTCATATATTTATATTGATATATCAGGTATAAAAGTAATTGGAAAACGTTCTGTTCAAGACTCCTGTACATATGGTCGAATTCGAGTTGGGTCCCAAATAATATTTATTATTAAGATAAACAAATAATTGAGTACGATTATAAAAACGATAACAAACTAGTTCGGTCCAACCACTCCGATAGTAAAAGTTGTAACTTATAAGTATTGATACATTTGATAATTTTAAAAAAAATAATAGATTTGAGTTTGTAAAAGCTTTATGGTTTAGATTTTTATCGATTTTGTTAATTTATAATTTTTAATAATTTATTTTATTTATTTACTATTTAATCCGTGTTTTTCAAATAATAATTACATACAATTATGTATCAGAAATTTAAAAAAAAAAAATCATACCTGTGTTCTTATATATAGTTCACTGACAGTTCTCAGTCTATAAAAATGAGAAATATTTTTATACTTCACTGCAATTATATTTGAGGTGATCATGAGGTCGATTACTCCCATAAATTTATATGTTTGCGTAGGTATTTTTTATATATTTACTAAGATAAAATTACAAAAAAACTTGAATATTTCACAAAAAAATTAATTCATCAGCATAAAATAAGATTCTATTAGATTTAAATAGAATATAAATCGATGAGAAATGTGTATCGTTCGAGTACTGTTACGAGAATATGATCGGTCACATTAAATTTTAACTTTCGCATTTTTACATAGTTACGCAAAGTGTTTATTTGCAAAGGAGATTTGACAACCAATTCCCACTAATGTTATTTGTTACTAGCCTATACATATTTTCTCCATAGAAATTATTTCTGACTTCCGTGGTATTTCGAGATAGTTTTCAGGGAGATTCAACGTGTTTACATTTTTGTTACTAGTATGTATACCTATAAAATAATTTTTTTAAAGTAACGACCGCAGTAGGTAGTTACGATTCTTGATTTACATTAAAATATTATTGAAATGTCATTTTCGTCAGCTCATAACTTATAGCTCTAAAAAAGTTAGTTATAAGCGCTATAATATGCTCATAAAAATATTCATATGAACGCTTAAATATGCACTAGAAATACAAAAATATGTGAAAAAAAATATTATGTAAAAACAACAATTTTCACTTGTTATTAAAAAAACATATAATGTATGTATAAAAACATATACATTTTTTTATGACCCGCGATAAAAAAAAGTTGTTTTTTATGGCCCGAGGAAAAAAAAGTTTGGCCACCACTGCTATAAGTTATGAGCCCTAATCATTAGTAATTCATTTTTTTCTATTTTGGTCATAATGTTATCACCAAGATCGGTCCGGATATCACCGTTCACCAAAGCTCGCACGACTCCAACGAAAACATGAGTATGATCGTTGCGATTCTAAATGCAGCCGTATTCATGTATGATTGCAGCAAAAATTCAGCAAAATAATTCATTTTTTCTGTTGTTAAACTATTAAACGCGGGATAACTTTTTCTGAGTTTATATTAGAGGCTCCAATATTTCTAAACATATAGAGTAGAAAATTATTTGTGTAACAGCGTGCTTATAGTTAGATAACATAAGTAGAATATAAGTTATTTGCTTCCAAACATTTCTGTTTTTTTCTTTTAATTTACATATAAAATAATGAATGTATACTAATGTTGAAAAATAAAGCACGCTGTTACACAGATAAAACATGTTATACGGATAAAAAAATAATGGAAAAGATAATTGATGAACTCCAGTTTTGTTGACGACTCGTAAATGTCGGACGAGGTACTTTTTTTTATTTTTATTGTGATGTGGTACAAATACACACCGTTTTATAGACATTAATTTTGAGATATTATATTATTAACCTTTGAAATCTCTCTTATAATGACATTTAATGTTTTAAATAAAAGTAAAATATTTCTTACACTAATTAATGTATTTCTGCGAAAGATATTTTAAATGCTTCCATATTAAAAGAACTTGCATTAATATGACGCTCATGTAGACTGTATATTATATTTTATAGAATCTCGAGACTTTCAAACGAAATAATGAATCATAGATGGGTTTAGATTTTAATAAAATATAACATAACAAAATTTTATTACATGAAAAATAATTACAAAAATAAATTATTCGCTTTGGCCAGCAGTTTGGGTTTTTTCGATAATATAACGAATACAAATATCGTTTCAACGCAACAACAATTAAACATGTATTAATATTAAATAGAACAGGCGAAATATATTAATATAATAAAACGTCTTGTAATGCCTGATTTGATTATGATTATATAAAAACTAGATATCCAAAAATGTAATAATAATAATAATAATAATAATAAAAATAATAATAATAATTTTAATAAAATAATAATAATAATAATAATAATAATAATCATTATAATAATAATTATAACCACATGATGAGTTGGTTGTACTCCACGTATTATGTGGTTTTAACGTAATAATATATTACTTAATGACTGGCACTATCATTCATCTTTGGTACGTGTCGACGGGCTCGAATTCACGAGTAGATAGTCATCAAGATTAACTGTAACGATAATAAACATATAAAATTATTGGACCTATGGTTAATAAATATTCGCCATTTTCACGATCGAGATAATTTACCTCTTCTAATGATAAGGGGTTTCCTTTGCTCATTTTCGTGTCCAAACTGTGATACCTCTCTGAGGGGGGGGGGAAGGAAAAATAAACAATAAATCAATAAACGAATAAATAAATAACGTTCAACGTCAGTTGTGTAACGCATTGCAAAGAAATCGATAGTCTTACCGTGAGCCAGGTGCAACCTGACCATGGCCATTATGAAACACTCAGAAGTCAGAATTCTGTTCTTGGCGAATCTCAGCACCAGGCATTCGAGCACTTTGTTGCTGACGGTGCTGCCGGCTTCCCACAGTAGAGGCCTTAGGTTGTAGCTAGACGTCTTGGTTGGGTTCACGCCCTTTTCAAACTTTTGAAACGCAATCTAAGAAAATAAATCGGGTTTTTATCCACTTCAAACTTTCGTTGCGTCAGTTTTTTTTTATTTTTATACGATACAAATAATTATATTTCGCCTTATTATTCCAGTCGAAATCCGCATTATTGGCTATCCAAATAACCAAAATAACGAGTGACAAAATAAGCTTTTATACTCTAATAATAATAATAGTACTGCAAGAACGAAAAGAATATGCTTCAAATGAGTTCGTATGATTATATACTATACTGTTTTTATCGAAATTGATAGTAAGTAGTAGTACAAAAGTAGTAATTTAAAATATATAAATGTTTCGGTGAGTGTTGATACTTATGGTCGAAGAAAAAAGATTTTGTACAAAACTCTTAATTAATTAATAATTAATTAATTAAACTCTTATCTTACGAATATTACTCATCATAAGACTTCAGATATTTCCTTAATTGGTAATATGGATTCGTATTACAAGACTAGAAAGTCGAAACATATTCTTCGTGCGATACTACGATTTTAGTCGTAAGATGGAACTGATATTTTTTCCGCCAAATCTTTTACCTTCCAGAATTGCAACATATGCATTAACACGGGTATGTCTAACATGTTGATCCGACCACTGATGTTAATGTCCCTCAACATTATTAGACTCTTGCACAGTTCAAGACTTGGTTTCTCGGCCAAGTACGCTTTCCAGTGGGCACGCAGGATTTTTTGCAACTGCGTCACGTCCAGTTCTGGCGGATACTTGACCATGAGCTTAGTCAAGAGTGGCTTTCCGTCCGGCTGTAAAATTGTACCAGACATAGATTAAAACGGTATATAATTAGTACTATAACCAGGAATATTGTTAGGCTTGAATATTGTAAATTTTTTAATCTTATTTGTTAAAAAATTATTCCAAAATAAAATTTCAATTTCCCGTGCACTACGAAGATTTCAAAATGCTTGTTTTTTTTTTTTTTTTTTTTTTTTTTTTATCACAAAAATATGAATAAATATTGCACACTTTGTAAATATTATTTTTACCAAACCCAGTTAGGTAAAGTTCAGTTTTATTTTATAGATACTTTTTATTAATTCAATATTAAAATAAATGAGTTTTAATATGGTTTAGAACTCTAAAATGTGCTGCAAGAATTTTTCCGCTTCATATATAAATTGTTTCTTATCTTAAAATTGTATTCGATTAAAAATAATTCTTACAACAGTTTTAATTTTATATTTCAACTGTAAATGTTTATCTTCACTGAGTTCATATTTATATTTTGCATACTAATCCACGGCGTAACGATACTCACCAATATGACGGTGTCTTCTAGAAATTCTGCTGAAATATTTTTAAACACCATATTGTCATCGTTAACCTCCCTGAAATGGATTAATTGTTTAATTATTGGCAATAAAGTCAAGATGATCAAAATTCATCCAGACTAACCATATATTACTCTGTTCATCGGTCAGTATACGCAATAAGAATTTGGCATCACAGTTAGGGACGTTCGTTTGAGGGACGACAATGTAGTCACCGGGCGGCAATGTAAAAAACGTCACTACTTCTCTTGCTACAGAATGATTGGTGACGTCTAGAGGTTGCTGTAAGAGAAACAGTAACAGTTTCGTATACTATGTACCAAGAGATGTACATTTTTAAAAACATTACAGCAAAGCAGTTAAATGAAAAAAAAAGAGTTAATTAAATAAATGTATAAAGGAACTAAAATGAATTAAATTAAGAATTTAGCGGAATAAATGAAGTTAATAATGAAATGGATGACAGGAATAGAATAAAAGTTAAGTAAGGGGATGGTGTCGGGAGTGATACAACTAAAAGAAGATAGGAATGAGAAAAGGAGATGTCGTCTAGGAAGAAAAGAAGGACATTGAAAGTTGCAGATAGTGTCATCGTAATGTCATGTACAAATAAGAGATGAGGAGAGCTTAACGGCATGATAAGGTAGAAATATGAGTAGTAAATAACAATTTTTATAAATGTAAATCAAAATACTTTTGCTTTCTCACTTAGCGAAAAAAAATACCAGCAAATTAATTAAATTAACAGCACCCACTTTATTAAAATATTTCAAAAATATATAATGTTTTTAACTAAGTTACTAATATCGTTTAAAATAACTTTGCTGAAACAATTTCGATTTCGTCGAAATCTCGTTTTGTAACGTTTACAAATATAAATGTCCCTAATTCTCACCAATTTTTTTTTTATCTATAAAAAAACTATATAAAAAATCTTGTATTTAACTTTTAAACTCTAAACATAATAACTGAAAAGTTTATGAATTTTTAACTACAATATGTAAGCGGATTTTTGCTAGTTCGATTGTACGTCATTATGCGTACAGTAATTTACAAGACGACAGTTATAGAAAATAATACAAGTGGAAAACCAAATACTGTTTATCAAAACTAGTGTCTAAAGTATCACGTTATAAGTATCACCTTGAACGAAAAACTACACGAAATACGCGTCACGTATGATGTAGACCGAAATAGTTTAGAAAATCGCAATACGTGACGTAGAAGATACAAAGGTACTTTTACCTTTAACACTGCTCACCAATGGGTGCACGTAAGAACACATACGTCGGATTTAACGTTACTGATTTACGCAGCGATTCGTAACGTTGACGCAGGTGATCGTACACAAATAAACGATAAGCACATGTATAACACGATAAACGATGAACGATGAGAGTAATTTTTCGGCGAAAAAAGAGAAGGGACAAACGGAAACAACCGTTAAAGTTTACCGGTAAACGTGTTCGACTAGATCGGACGAAACGCGAATCGGAAAAACGCTGTTCACGACCGTCGCATCGTTGTTATTATTATTTACTTGTTGAGCCACGAACTGCGACGTCAGTCTGGACGTGGAATGCGGCACTTCGTAGACGGCGAAACCGATGGCGAACAGTGGCCGAGCACCCTTGGCCTCGGGGTCGGTCTCGTACTGCTGCACCACGGACACGACCACGTGACACTTGTTGCCGGGGGTCCTGGGTATGCCGATGTGGAACTGCGGATTCATGGCCGTTGTCTCAGGGTACCCGGGCCCGCCGCCCGCGTTGTACCCGCTCCGCCATCTCCGCCTGGCCAACACGGCGCGCCACGGCTGCTTCGAGTGCAGCGCCGGCTCGGTCATCCAGTCGTCGGGGCTCACGTGGACGATGTCCAGCTGCGTGAAGTGCCTGGCGAAGTCTTCGAAAGACATCCTGCGGGACCACGGCAGATTAGACGGTGACATCACCGGTTAGGTTAGGTTAGCATTTGATTGACGGTTAAGCGTGACTTACACCACAAAGTCAGTTTACCGGTCGACCAGCGAAACATTATACACAATGTGTTTCATCGACGATACTTTCGATTTCAATAACTCACGTTTATCGTATAATCGAGTTAGGTCAGGTTTTACAAGTTAATCGATTACATTTAGTTTTAGACGTAGTATTTACAAATGTTTAACATATCGGTCACATCGAGTTTTAGGTATAATGTTTATAAACGTTCGATGTAACTTCCCTTACGAGCGCGACATACATCTAAGCGATATTCAAATACCTCACGAACCTGATGAAGCATGTCCAATGAAATCAAGTTGATGACGTCTGTGATGCAATTGTTCGATTCATCAAGATATTTTTGAAGGGGGGGGAGGAGTAAATAAACATTGACCTTCGCATTCAAATCAAAAGCGGCCTCATCGCTGAAAATAATATGATAGAGGAAAACTATTCTACTTTTTAACCCATCTCAAGAATAGTTGTACAAAACCCAAACCTTCTTTGCACATCACTGTCAGTGAGAGCCTGTTGGATTTTATACGGCTTATCTCCGCAAAATACACTAAATTGATTTCTGCACGATTTTTACGAAACTGTCGGAACTTGTTCTACATTTGCATTTCAAGTTTTTGGTTGACCTGAAGACTTCTCTTTACAAAAGTAACCGGTCTCTTAGAAGGTCTTATGTCGCCTATATATTATGAGCTGTAGGAAGTTCAATTTTGAACTTTGGTTGAAAATCAAGGTATACCGTAATAACAGATTCATACTTTTCAAAACGGAGCACATTTCGATAACAAATAATTAAATAATGCCACTCGGCTAAGGAGCACTTTGTCATAACTCGTCGGTAATCGATAAAAACTGGAAACACTGCCATTTAGATGATGGTTAGTGCTTCGTTTACCACATTCTACATGTATAGTCTACAAATATTGAATTAATTATTTTGAAACGCACTGCACTACTAGTTAATTCTTTTACCAGTTCATCGTAGTGCCGGGGAAAAAAAATACAATTTACTAGTTAAAAACAAATAACTAGTTGTCCAGTTGCATGCAATTATATTTGCTCGCAACTAATAAAATAGCATGATGGTTCGTCAAAAAGTTGAAAAGTTTCGACTTCACAAGCAAACTAGTACGTTAGGAAAACAGCAACTAATTTACCAGCATACTCAATTTAGATGATATTTTTTTTTACTAATAGATAGTGAACTGGTTTATTAGTTACTACCAGGAGCGGATTTAGAGAGGGGGTTCAGGGGTTCAGCTGACCCACAGTTAATATTTGTTGACAAAATTGGCCTCTTGGAAATTTTTTTCTCTTTTCAGATCTTCATTTGGACTCTTGGACAGTTGGCTCATCGGAGTTACTTGAAAAATGAATGCCATTTATATTCAAAATTTAAAATTTTTTAACTCATAATTTATATTTGATAATAATTTATATCGTTTTAGTAGAAAGTTAAGTAAATAATATTTTATTCCGTACGTTTGTTGCGCTGATAAAATTAGATTATGTTTATTAATCGTAAATAAGTTATTATCGGTGGTATTACTAATTCTAAAATGTAATATAAATATACTTATACACTTTTATGAGCATATTGTGTTTTTTTTTTTTTTACAAGGTATTAATTTCTAATTCAGTTTCATCCCAAATAAATGGCCTCTTGAAATGGCTTGACCCACAGTTCCCCAACTCTGGATCCGCCTCTGGTTACTACAGTAAACCAGCATCGTGTACACAAGCTTTATTTGTGGCGTGTGTGTGTGTGTGTGTGTGTGTGCTCGTACGATAGTTGTACGGCCGATGGAAACTCGACTTCAACTCACCAAAACTCGCCGTCGTTGCGCACGCGCACGCTGAGCAACTCTTTATCCCTGTTCGACAACCCGTCCCATTCCCAGCTCCTCTCGCTCCAGGGCCCGGTCCACTCGCCCTCACCCCACGGGTTCCGCAACCGGACCAGCGGAGTGTCGCCCAACGGACCTCGGACACGCGCCAGACCCGTAACACTGTACGCGTGCTGAGTCATCAGACCGTTTCGCAGTCTTAGTTGTCTCTTGTTCTCCTTCTGGAAAAAAAAAAATATATCAAAAACATACAGTTCAACAGTGCATAAGTCATTAATTAACCGTCAAGATAACTGTGCACACTGCACCAGTGGTGACCGAACTTTTTTATTTTATTTATTTTTTTACCGAACACAATGCAACAGAAAAAAATGTTCATGCCCACATTCATTTACAATTATATAAGTTCAATTATTATTTATTAAGTTTTAGATTATTTATAAATTATTTATAAATGAAAAAAAGTAGTATTAATTATTATATTAAAGTTTATCTACTTTGCGTACCACATTCAATCCAGCTTTTATTTGGTATCTCTTGATACAAGACGCGATCTATGAGACTTACTAGTCCTTTCTATCTAAAATTGTAAATAGGTACTATAGCCTGTCCAAACTTGCTACATTTACTTAACTTTTATATCCCCACATTCGATTATCGTCCCATTCCCACATTTGCAATCCCGATCCACCGTATATCTTTTAGTGGTAATAACCCTATTGACCTTACATTTCGATTTTGATTTGTATATTTAATTTTATTCTTTGCGACATTAAACTTTTTCCCTACTCATTACACATTTGTGTAAGTCTAATTGTTTACCAATAAGTCATAATTCATGATCTAAATATTATTAATATTTTATATGACAACATAATTATTATTTTTGTTTTCCGTTCGTTTGTTATTGTTAGTATTATCGACCGTTGTTTCATTCTTTATATTCTTACGTATTATACTGTACTAGAGCCTCCGGTAACTTACGTAATAAATAAATAATCACCATAAATACAAATTAGGTTTAATCTTACTTTTGTCCACACATACAACGTCAATATTAGGTAGTGATTGGCTAAAGTTCATCCAAAACGGTACGAAGATGTTCATTTATTTTGTATACTTTAGATTTTAAGATGAACGCGAGTCAATTTTTAATTTGACGCTATGGCGGACCCATTAATTGTAAATGATCGTGGGCCGTAGTTAACCACCGCTGCACACCGCAGTGTCCAAGTACTTACCAGGGTGATTGTGGATATGAGCAATGATGACCTGGGTACGGCGCTGTTAAGCACTTGATACGTGAGGAACCGGTCTTGGTTGGAGAGCCCGAAACTTTGAACGATGCCGCCGGTCAAGTCTTGCAGTGCTCTAGTGGTCGAGCTTCCCGGTCCGCTGATATTCTCGTAACAGCCGTATAATCTAAATATAAAAAAAAAATTACAACGATCGGTTTACGACGATACCGTTCGAAACGTTTCGGCAGTAATCCACTTGGTGGTAGCGGTATTATCTCACTAACTTGGCGTAAGCTTTCTCCAAAAGCGCGGCCCAGAATTCGGTAGGATTGGTGGAATGCATGTACACCAATCGTCCCCTGTAAGTGGGCAGCTTGTCGTCCACCAACACTTCTTTCCATTCGCCAAAGTACCAAAATCGAAACCTGGAAGTATAGAGTTTTTAGCGACTACATAGAGCATTACGGTATGTTGGTAAATACAAGGGTTCTTAATCCTTTAAGCGAATACAAACACAAGTGTTCACGGATGTCGCGAACACGGGAACGTAATAGAATTATACTCGTCTTCTATAATACCATTATTTGCGCCCTTATGGCAGTATCAAACTTTTACGCGCATCGTACCGCGTACACTACACGGTTTTCTATAGCAGGAGCATAACATCAAAAATAGTGGTTAATGGATATAATCATATTTATTTCAAACGATTCAAACATCAAATTGTTAATACCCTGTCTTGATCTGTCCAACGAACTGGACTAAACGATTTCTAATATGATATCGCTGACACGCATGCCGCACGAGGTCGGCAAACCCGAGCGTTCGTCATCCGAAAGGTACTCACCGTTTATATCTATACAGTACAACACCATCAAAATATCTCGGCTGTGCGGTTACGTCCGGGCGAGACGCGATACACGAAGCGACGATTTCTCCTCGCGCCGCGGAAAAGATCGACCTAGTCAATAATTATGAACATTGCTGTCCGGTAGAATTATCATTATATTGTTATTATTTTAATCGAAAATTCCCTCGGAAAAGAAGATAATATGTGTAAAAAAAAACCGTATATGTAATCTGGTCGTTTATATTATACGAACTCTTATATTGTATGGGAAGAAAAAAAAGCGGTTTACGCACATGACGACGCATGAGTATAATAATAATAGTCAATGGTCTGACGACCTAACGGAGGGGTGTAGGGGACCGCCGGGTGCAGTCTACCGTACGCCTATGTATTCATATTTATTATCGTTGAAATGATTGTCTGAGACGTACGATCATTCATCGGGTGGTTCGTTGTGAAAGGTGGGAAGGAGCTTGAGTGGATCCAGAGGGGACACAAGTGCGACCCCCGTTGGATAAAATAATATTGAAAATAAAGTATGTTTAGTACAATATTGTCACATTGTTTTTGAGGAAAGGTTGAGTTCCCCCCAAGATACCCTTATAGCTAAACTAACCTAACCGTAAATAGATGCTGGATCTACCTTTAGGAAAGGGTCTTTTGATGCGTTCGAAAATTGCATTACTCGTGACTTTGGCACCGGGTGAATTATCTTCTCTGCTGACCAGTGAAGTAGAACTGTTGTTTAGTAATTCGGGGGAGGAAGAGAAGGTAATAATAATGGTAAAAATCGTTGGATTAAATTGCAAACTAACGACATTTATGATCAAAGAGTTAGTTTAAAAACCAAATATTAATTTATACACCTCAAAAATAATACGATAGAATATATTGATAAATTAATTATATTTTAAGATCAAATTCAGTGCAGCTTAACTTGATTTTTACAACGAATCATTGAAGAAAAAATGATATGATATAATCAATATATAACTGTCACTGATGTTGTACATGGAGTATAAAGTTTGTTTTTTTTACTCATTAGATTTACTTGCTCACTCATGATTTCGAATTTTTCCTGTTCATCGATAAACTTTTAAAATGAGTATCACGTATCAATGACTATTTTTTAACGATAAAAGTTATGCGTTCTTATTACGTTCTTATTGCATATTAAATATGATTATATTATTATAATACAAAAACTTAAATGAAAATAATTAATTAAACTTTGATGTAAATAATATCCACAGTATAACGCAGTACCAACGATGTCACTACAATCGACTTTTAAGTTTTTAATCAAATATAAAATCGTTTAGATAAAATGGTAAATGAAAGAGTTTATCTTCGGTTTATTTGAAACAGATTTGTTTTTATGAAATTGTTGGGAAAAAATCAGCTATTTCGGCTAAAGAAAATGTTTAGTTGTTTATAAGTCGATAAGTGTTAGCTTGTCGAAAGTGTTTTAGGATGCTTTAGGTCACCGATGAAGTTGATGTATTTTCAGTACTTCTGATGGTTAATTTTTTTTTTTACCATTTCTTATTGCATAATAGGATGCCGATTCTGTGTTACCACGAAATAATAATGGTTAGCAGATGCTGAGAGTGCACCGAGAGCGAAATCGTCGGATCTCTGTGCACAATGTAGTCGCGTGTTTAATTGTACATACGAGTTACGACGCGACGACTTTGACCACGGCCTTGAACAAGATCACCCGATGGCTATTTTATGTGGCATCATATCTCTTCACCGCTGCCGACATCCCGAATCAACGCCAAACGGGATTTCCGAAATGGTGTTTCTGTACACGAAATTACGTGTGGAAAAATAAAAATAATAATAATAACCCTCACTAGCTAAACGTTCATCGGACCAATTCTAACGTCCTATCCGATTATTATTCGATGATAATCATATATACGTAAGATGAATTATGAAGTCAACGATTGCGTAAATTGCGTTATAAAGATTCAGTTTTTTTTTTTTTTTAATTGTAATAATGTTATATTATTACGTTTCACATGATTTTGATTTTTTTGTTTTCTTGTTCTGGAATAGCGAGGTACTCGTCCGCAGTGCTTTTTCTAGCAAAACCCCTGACACATGCCTCCTTGCAGAAATACCAGGGACGTATTATTTCGATATAGACATTGATTAGAGGTTTTTAACGTGATAAAGCGCATATCAGTTCTAACACATCGCTACGAAGAAAATACTTTTTTGAATATTGTTTGAACGTTTTACGCATTTTATTAGAAATTTAAAGTATAGAATTACTGGTCTTGGGTTTTGTAGTAAAAATATTTCGAACTTTTGTTTCACTTATAGTAAGCACAAAATACGACTTATTTTTAACAGACGTAATGTACTAACGAATTGCAACAACGGTGTGTTGAAGTATTTTCATTTTGAATTTAATGAAATTTCATTAAATGCGTTAACGCACTAGTGTATATTACGACAATAGTAGTGTTATAAAGAGTGAACGTAACGGTACAATTTATTTCCATATAATTGTTTTGCTCTATTTTACCGGACACGAATATCGATACTGCATAAGCGATAATATCGAACCAAACGAGTGACTATAATAATTGATATTCAGATCCCTGTTATTGTTATTACACCGTAACGTTTGCTAAGTAATAAAAAATGAATATACATATTGTTTGTCCGTGTTAATCAAAATAATTCAATAGTAATTAATGAAAATCCAAAGCATTTTCCAACAAACACGTATTAAAAAATACTACACGAAATCTCTGAATAAAAATCGTTTTCGAAAACTCATTTGTTCATACGGAAGATTATTTATAAGTAGGTGCATACGATTTGCGTCGAAACAGGCTAGTTAATATTTATGACTATATTGGCTGATTAAGGTATGGACGTTTATTGAAAAAAGAGAACTCTCGTACACCAAAAAGAACGCATTAAGTTGTACACGATTTTGCCTTTTATTCGCTCAAAGTTGATGTTTTTCGATCACAAATATTTACCGATCATTACGCATAAAACCGATATCATTTTTTAAATTAAGTATGGATCGGTAAACGGCCACACAGAATTAGAGAACTCATAATGACTCGATGAAACACTTTCTTTAATTATTTATTATATTTCTTATGTGAGTAACAAGTTTATCGTTTATTTTAAATCTTTTGTTATTATTATTATTATTTACATAATGGGTATTATATCATTATTTTATTTTCCTCGTTACTATAAAACATGACAATCTTGATAAGTTATTTTATTCTACGGTATGATGTATTGCCTCGGTGTAAAGTTAATAAATTCAATTAATTATCTATTCACCTACGTGTATATTTCTATTTATTTATTATTTTTTCTAGCAATAAAAATGATTTCGTTCGCACATCAATAATATTATCAACTCATAAAACGGAACGAGATGAAAAAAAAAACGATTAATTCTGTTGCAATCGATCTGATCCACTAGGGAAACGGTTGCGAACAATCATTACGAGAATCGTAAAGCCAGTTTTCGGCGAATTAAAAAAGACAAAAAATAAAAAAACACCAAATTATGGGTATAAAAACGAAAAAAAAAATGTAAAAATCGTATTCACGAGCCACGTCGAGGTGGTTGTTACAAAACGTAAAGATGAAACGAAACACGGTTACACATAGTGGAGGACGGCAAGAGTCCGCGATCATACAGATGTCGCGCGCGCAAGACGAAAAAACGATTAACGTGGTATTAGAATACCTACCGAACGGTATCGTACGTATCGCGAAGACGGCTTTCCGATCCGATACGTAGACCTGTTATCATATTTTTCCCCCCTACGTTTCTAGGGACCAAACGAAGCGGGTCCGCGGCACGTTCGCAACGCGGTAAAGGTGCGATCCCACGACACGTGGCTTGGTATAGCGCGGTACAACGAACGCGCCGCAGGATTGGCGCGGCGCAGCGCGACCGTTCCCGATGATTGTCTCGGTTTTTGTGTCCCGCGTCAAAAGGAAATTGGCGCTGCATTTGACCGCGCCCGGAAACGCGCCGAGCTACGCGGCGTCGTGGGATTACGAAGAATCGCGTTCGTGGTGGCCCGGTGTATAGTCGAATAACGCGTCTCGGGCCGCGCCACGCGCCGTGTGATCGATCGCACCTGAACGACGGTGCGGAGATAAATCATTGATTTTGTTATACGACTGCGGGCGCCGACGGGACGCGTTACGACGGCCGATAGAAAAACCGACTTGAACACCACGCAACAAGCAACTCGGACGACGAAACGTCGTACGTTCTCACCTCGTTCCCGCGTACCGGTTCAAAAGGCAAAGCGTCCTGTAGGACGCGATCGCCGTACGACGACGACAACAACAACAACAATAACCGTACGATAACGTGTCGCGCGGCGCAGACGGAGATCGGCCGCAGCGATCTGCAACAACGGCCGGAGCCGAGTGACCGCGACCGCGTTCGCAATACGTAATATGTAAATGCAGCAATACAGAATTGCGCACGCACGCGTATGCATACGTGTTCGTGTTGAACCGCGCGTAATTTATTTCATTTCTTTTTTCATCGTCCGCCGATGCGAT